TGTTCATTCTTAATGTACTCCCACAATATAATGGCTCGTTTGAACATACTAATCTTGAAATCCGCATGTTCATTCTTTTTTTAGTTTTAATCTGATCGAATTGCTCATTGAAATTCAATAAGCTCTGATACCATATTAGGACTTTGGATTCTATCTTAAAATGTTACCCTTATTAAGAGAAGTAACCCAAACATTTATATGTTAGTTTATATTTCGAAATAGGCTCGACGTGACATGAGGAAGAACATACGTGTTGAAATTGAGTTCGATAGATTTGGCAAAACGGTCAGCGGCGGCAACTCCACTGATAGCAATGTGCCCCTGTTTGGACCCCATTAAATTTCATTAATGTGTTCCTCATTTTTCAACACATTAGGGTCCATCGTAACAGTGATGCAAAAAGTACAATTATTAATGTCATACGTTTGACTATTATTTTTGCTAAAACCTTTCCAAATGCTTAAAAAGACAATATTGCCCCCACTTTTGAAACGTTAATAGTTTCGTTAGATGAGGGTATATGTGTCCTTTACAAAATCAACCATTTTTTAATATTTATCATGCCTGACATTGATTGTACCGTGAGCACATGTGTGTACAAATATGGCAAGGAAAGTGAGTTGACAAGGTTGAATTAATGGGAAATGTGAAATAATGGGCCAAATTGGGGCTATATTATTAGCAAGATGCACTTGCTCTAGTATGTTCAATGGTGATAATGTATGATATTTCTATTAGTTGAGTTTTTCAATAACTTTAGTGATGGACGGAATGAATAAGTCAAAAACAAATTATAAGTTTTATCACGAGATAGTCTAAAAAATGATTATTATAATAGGCTGTAGCTGTGTAAATTTGGATTTGCTCAATCAAAACAAAACATGCTATGTTACTGAAGTACTGGAAATCTGGAATTTGTGTATTATTGTCTGACCACTGGCTGCCTTAATTATATATTGTTTCTAGTCGGCAGCCATTATTTTTTCTTGAAGAAATTCAATAGCTCGAAGCGGCATGAGGAAGGATGTACGTGCTGAAATTGAGTTCTATAAAGTTGGCGAAAGAGTCGTTGGCTGCTCTACTAATAGCAGTATATTATTAGCAAGATTCCCATTTGCTCTTGTACATGCAATGGTACTATATATAAGTTTATATTGTGACATAAATATATAAATATCTCTGTCTCTGTCTCTATCGATACTTATATATAATCTCTGCACGAGTCGATAAGGATTGGTAGTGGGGCCAGTGGCCACATGGTCTAAAAAAAATGCACCGACCTCAACAGAAGATACCTTTTTTCGAATTTGTTTGTGTTTGTATATTTTCTTCTCCACTACATTGAAGCAATAGTGTTATAAGTTCTACTGTCTACACCTATTCATGCGTCAACTTATTTGTACAACTATGAATCAAGGTGTTGGCAACAAAACAGTATGAATAAATAAATAAATCGGATCTTTCTCTATTAGTTCAAATTTTATCATAGCATCGAAAGGTGTTCAGACGAAATCCTTCTGCCACCCATGTATTAGTGTAAGTCATTGATGAAAACGTAAGCCCGAATGTTATGTGAGGGGACTTGTCGGAGACAATCTTTTAAATACATAAAATAACCCCTCTCTAATAGTTTATTCTCATAGACATGTTGCTCTAACCGGCAAGATGAATAAAGATTCAACTATGAGTTAACTAATAAACTGTAAAAACAATTTTTTTTGTAGGACTTCCACGGTTTGGGAGGGAAGATTTACCGCACCATAGCAACCAGAAACACATTCTTAAAACGGTCAGTAGAGGTATATATGTTTTATTTGAATGGAACGATTGTTCGAAACAATTGTCGTTGTTTCACTAGAATAATGGGGGCCAATCTGAGCTATATTATTAGCAAGATACACTTGCTCTAGTACGTACATTGGTGATAATATAGCACCATGTTCGATACCATTATTTTAAAATGCATTTTTTCCTCTCTTATTTTCAATCACATATTTTTTAATAAAATAATATTACACACAAATCCAAAAAATTTCCTTATTTTCTAACCACATGTTTTTCATCAAAACATTATTTAAAATGTATTTTTGGAAGAATAATGTGGCTCAAGCAGGGTGATGATATCTCTTTTAGTTGACTTTCCAGTAACTTTATTGATGGACGGAATGAATAACATTGCACACACTTTTGTTGACATTGTGTAGAAATTCAAAACGTGTTGGACGAATAAGTGTGTGTGTTTTTTTAAAAATTGTTCAATTATGTGTCGACACGTGGTACAATATAAAAAATGATATCAAATAAAATGTACATGTAGCATGATTGCGGAATGAATAACGTCAAAACAAATTATAAGTTTTATCACGAGATAATCTAAAAAATGATTATTTAAATTTGGATTACAGATTACTCAATCAAAACGAAAACATGCCATGCTGCTGAAGCATTGGAAATTTGGAATTTGTGTATTATTGTCTAACCACTAGCTGATTGATATTGCCTTAATTATTGATATATTGTTTCTAGTCAGCAGCCATTAATTTTTTTTGAAGAAATTCAATTTGTGGTTAAAAAATAATGAAAATTTTTAGATTTACGTATAATATTATTTTATTGAAAAATGTGAAATTGATAAGAAGGGAGAAAAAAAAATATTTTAAAAATAACGAGAATCAAACAAAGACTAATTTAGATATTCTAGTGATACGTCACAAAAGCACGTTAGCTAAATAAATCTCGTTATTAGTTCTCATAGTTGGAATTGATTTCATTATTTTTTTTTTTTTTTTTTTATTTGTCTCAATTTCGTTCACTTGTAGACCACTTAGGGATTACCGGGAAATTGCCTGATAAAGAATATTTTTTCAATTTATTTTTTATTAGGAATATTTTTTTCAGTTTAATCGTCAACTTGAACACTGTTTATAAATATAAGGAATGAAGCCAGATCTATCCTTGCATTTTATCTACACCGTCTTCTCTCTCTTTTTCTTCTAACTCAGAAAATGAAGGCTCTGTCCATTTTCCAGCAGTTGGTTACAGAACGCTGTTTTCTGCAGCAAAGTAGGGTCCTTCTCTTAAGTATTTAACCAGTAAGTTCTTAGTTATTTATTTCTATACATTTTCATTAGTTTATATTGTGACATAAATATATAAATATGTCTGTCTATGTCTCTGTCTCTGTCTCTGTCTCTGTCGATACTTATATATAGTCTCTGCACGAGTCGATAAGGATTGGTAGTGGGGCCAGTGGCCACATGGTCTAAAAAAAATGCACCGACCTCAACAGAAGATAGCTTTTTTCGAATTTGTTTGTGTTTGTATCTTTTCTTCTCCACTACATTGAAGCAAAAGTGTTATAATTTCTACTGTCTACAGCTATTCATGCGTCAACTTATTTGTACAACAATGAATCAAGGTGTTGGCAACAAAACAGTATGAATAAATAAATAAATCGGATCTTTCTCTATTAGTTCAAATTTTATCATAGCATCGAAAGGTTTCAGACGAAATCCTTCTGCCACCCATGTATTAGTGCAAGTCATTGATGAAAACGTAAGCCCGAATGTTATATGAGGGGACTTGTCGGAGACAATCTTTTAAATACATAAAATAACCCCTCTCTAATAGTTTATTCTCATAGACATGGTGCTCTAACCGGCAAGATGAATAAAGATTCAACTATGAGTTAACTAATAAACTGTAAAAACAATTTTTTTTGTAGGACTTCGACGGTTTGGGAGGGAAGATTTACCGCACCATAGCAACCAGAAACACATTCTTAAAACAGTCAGTAGAGGTATATATGTTTTATTTGAATGGAAGGATTGTTCGAAACAATTGTCGTTGTTTCACTAGAATAATGGGGGCCAAACTGAGCTATATTATTAGCAAGATACACTTGCTCTAGTACGTACATTGGTGATAATATATGCACCCTGTTCGATACCATTATTTTAAAATATATTTTTTCCTCTCTTATTTTCAATCACATATTTTTTAATAAAATAATATTACACACAAATCCAAAAAATTTCCTTATTTTCTAACCACATATTTTTCATTAAAACATTATTTAAAATGTATTTTTGGAAGAATAATGTGGCTCAAGCAGGGTGATGATATCTCTTTTAGTTGACTTTTCCAGTAACTTTATTGATGGACGGAATGAATAACATTGCACACACTTTTGTTGACATTGTGTAGAAATTCAAAACGTGTTGGACGAATAGTTGTGTGTTGTTTTAAAAATTGTTTAATTATGTGTCGACACGTGGTACAATATAAAAAATGATATCAAATAAAATGTACATGTAGCATGATTGCGGAATGAATAACGTCAAAACAAATTATAAGTTTTATCACGAGATAATCTAAAAAATGATTATTTAAATTTGGATTACAGATTACTCAATCAAAACGAAAACATGCCATGCTGCTGAAGCATTGGAAATTTGGAATTTGTGTATTATTGTCTAACCACTAGCTGATTGATATTGCCTTAATTATTGATATATTGTTTCTAGTCAGCAGCCATTAATTTTTTTTGAAGAAATTCAATTTGTGGTTAAAAAATAATGAAAATTTTTAGATTTACGTATAATATTATTTTATTGAAAAATGTGAAATTGATAAGAAGGGAGAAAAAAAAATATTTTAAAAATAACGAGAATCAAACAAAGACTAATTTAGATATTCTAGTGATACGTCACAAAAGCACGTTAGCTAAATAAATCTCGTTATTAGTTCTCATAGTTGGAATTGATTTCATTATAAGTTTAGTGACTAAACATTGACATCTAAAAATAAACAGATTATTAGTGAGCGTGCTTATATAAATTCAGGCCCCGAAGAGAGATTTATTCTAATATTATTTGTGTATTTTTTTTCAGTTTAACTTTCAACTTGAATACTGCTTATAAATGTAAAGGAAGGAAGCCAGATCCATCATTGCATTTTATCCATACAGTCTACTCTCTCGTTTTCTTCAAACTCATAAAATGAAGGCTTTGCCCATTTTCCAGCTTCATTATTTTCCAGCAGTTGGTAACAGAACGCCGTTTTCTGCAGCAAAGTGGGGTCCTTCTCTTAAATATTCAACCAGTAAGTTCTTAGTTATTTATTTCTATACATTTTCACTAGTTTGTACTTTGACATAAATATATAAATATATCTTGTCTCTATCAATACTTATATAGTCTCTGGTCTCTGCACAAGTCGATAAGGATTGGTAGTGGTCACATGGTCTAAAAAAATGCACTGACAAATTGAATACTCCATTAAATCACTCAGCAGAAGATAGCTTTTTTCGAATAATTTTGCTACTTTGACAGAAAAATTGTAACATATGCAGTGATATAATCTCAATTGCCAACAGAGAATTTGATGGGGATTTGACCGTGTTTAAAACAGTCCAATAATAAGATGTCATGTAGCATTATGATTTTTACTATCTACAATTATTCATGCGTCAACTTATTTGTGCTACTACGAATTAAGGTGTTGGCAACACAGTATAAATAAATAAATCGGACCTTACTCTATTAGTTCAAATTTTATCAGAGCGTCCAAAGGTGTTCGGACGTATTAAGTTTGTTGCATATTTTGGATTCACCTAGAATTCACTAGAATTTCTTGGTGAGCAAGCATAATACAATAAAATAGGAAGTTTCTAGATTTGTTGGCAAACAAGTAAAATAAAAATAATTAGAAAATAGGAATTCTCTAGAATATGAATTCTCTAGAATATGCTTCCACCTCCTCTTTCAATCTCTATAATAGGAATTCTCNAACTTTATAAAAATCTATTTTCAAATAAATTATATTTCCCTCCTTCAATTATCTTGTCCAATTAAAATATCTCCCTACTATTTTTATCCTCTAAATATCATCAGGACGAAATCCTTCTGCCACCTATGCATCAGTGTTGGAAATTGATGAAAACATAACCCCGACTGTTATATGAGGGGGCTTGTCGGAGACAATCTCTTAAATACATAAAATAACCCCTCTCTAATAGTTTATGCTCATAGACATGGTGCTCTAACTGGAAAGATGAATAAAGATTCAACTATGAGTTGACTAATAAACTGTAAAACATTTTTTTGTAGGACTTCGACGGTTTGGGAGTGAAGATTTACTGCACCATAGCAACCAGAAACACATTCTTAAAATAGTCAGTAGAGGTATATATGTTTTATTTGAATGGAACGATTGTTCGAAACAATTGTCGTTGTATCACTAGAATAACCTTTTTTTTTTTTTTTGTCACAGAATCCATAAATTTATCTCAAGTATATGAAACAGATGATGACCTGCAGGATGAGGAAGCTTTTGAGGTGAGATGAAATTATAATACTATTCCCCATTTAGTTTTTTCATCTGTTAGTGCTATTACTATTCGTTGAACCACCTCATCTAAGATTTTAAACATGTAGAGAGAAGGGACAAAGAATTTGATTGTTTTAAATTTGAATATACATATAAGAATGTTTTTTATACTGAAAAATATTATTTTTAGTCAAGGGCCATAAATTATAAAGAACCAAATTAAATAGGCTATTTGAACTAAATTCCACTTTCATAAATGGGCGCGTTGCAACTAGACTTGAACCCACGTTATTACCATATTGAACAATCTTATCTATAGTTGAAGTTCTTCGTGCTGTTTTCATTTTTTTCCCACCACTGAGGTGGAAAAGGATTATTGCAAATTGTGGAAATTCCAGTTGAGGGGTACACTGACCTCCAGTCTAGTGAATGAAAAGAATTACCAAAAACACTGGGATTTCAATTTGGAGCTACAGGGAAATGAAAATAAACAGGCCTCCAAGCTGGCAGACTGTACTGACATCAATATATGATTTTTCTAAAGGTAAGCGTGATAAAGGGCCACATTGATCATATTAGGAGGATGCTGGACACTATGGGAGATGGCCGAACGAGTGTTTCACCCTATGACACGGCATGGATTGCTCTCATTAGAAATCTCCATGGAACTGATCTTCCTCAATTCCCATCAAGTCTTCAATGGATTGCTGATAATCAACTCCCTGATGGTTCCTGGGGTGATGATCATTTTTTCTTAGCATATGATCGGCTACTCAATACGCTAGCATGTGTGGTTGCGCTGAGATCATGGAACATTCATGCCCAAAAGATTAAAAAAGGTACTAATTAATCAAGGAGTATTCCTATCCGAAACTTCTTAACGTAGAGGAACTTCGGCTGATGAATGACACATCTAATTTAGGGATAACATTTATCAAAGAGAACATACACAAGCTTGAAAGTGCAGAGGCAGAGAACATGACATGTGGATTTGAAATTGTGTTCCCTGCCCTTCTTCAAAGAGCCAGAAACTTAGGTATTGACGATATTCCCTACAATGCTCCTGTTGTAAAAGAGATTTACGCTGCAAGAGATCGGAAATTGAAAAGGTAAAACTGTAATAGTTTAGATTTTCTATATGTTGCGTTTCTGCTAAACAGGATCTGATTGAACGAAATAAAAGACAAATGCCTAGTTTAGTTTTGGATATGTACATCCCAAAAAGTTAACATATTAGGTGAAGTCAATCATCTCATATGCCCATCATATATCACGTCCGACTAACGTGGAACTTTGTTCGCACTTTCCAACAATCTCCTATTCAAACAAAGTACATTTCATCTAGGTCCTCCTAAAGCAATAGTCTATCTATCTCTCATCCTCAAACCATAAAGTTACATGCTCCATCAAGGGTCTACCTTTACAAAGGGCCACCGCCTTACATGGCCACAATTGTCTTTAGAGCCAACTGCGGATTTTTTTTTTTCTGGCCATTGCAATAGAACTTAGGGCTCACTAGTAAACTTTCGTTTGGCTGTAATTGGGGATCTCTCCTGAGTGTTCACATGGTAAAGTTTAGGGCCTAACTCATAACACTTGTAGAGTATTGAAGTTCCATCCCAAAATATTTACCTATTAGATGAAATATTCCAATTCCCTTATAAGCCTATTATCTACTCCATGTCTAATCGAATTATTGCACTTTCCAACAAGATGACGATTTTTTTATGGGAAATGTATATGATTTGGAGCATATATAATATTATTGCCTATTTGACAGGATACCTCAAGACGTGATGCACACACTACCAACATCTCTACTTTTTAGCTTGGAAGGATTACAAGATTTGGACTGGAAAAAGCTTTTGAAGCTGCAAACTCCACTGGGTTCATTCTTAACTTCTCCATCCTCCACTGCCTTTGCACTAATGGAGACTAAAGATGACGAGTGTTTCAGATATTTAGATAATATTGTACAAAAAATGAATGGAGGAGGTAAAAATATTCAATTATTTACTTCCCTGAACACCAAAAAGGACCAAAATTTCTCGAGTTTGACGAGTTAATAGAAAATAATGACATAAAATATTTGTTCTTGTTAGACAAATTTGGATTCTCATTTCAAGTCATTTAAAGACATTTATTCCTATTTCACGGATTTTATTATTCTTCAGCCCCACATTCATATCCAGCTGACTTGTTCCCACGACTTTGGGCGGTCGACCGACTACAACGCTTGGGAATTTCACGCTTTTTTGGGTTACAAATTACAGAATTTCTAAATTACGTTTACAGGTAAAGAGAAAAACCAAAAATACTAATTAGATTGTTACCTACATTACCTGGTTTACTCTATCTCAACTAATTATGGAATTTTCTCTTACAGATTTTGGACGGACAGAGGAATTTTCAGTGCAAGATATTCAAGATTTTATGATATTGATGATACATCCATGGGATTCAGGCTTCTAAGATTGCATGGATATAGAATTGACCCCGGTAGGATTAGGCACTCCTTTTCCGTCTGTCTGTTTCTTTTGTAATTGAAAAACAAAATACAGCTTAGTAGGAGGGTTGGCTGACCTCCAATGAGTGAGAAAACGAAATAATATTAGAGTGCTATTTTTCACAGATGTGTTCAAGCACTTCAAGAATGACGACAAATTTTCTTGCTATGCTGGTCAAATGATTGAGTCTGCAACTCCAATATTCAATCTCTATAGGGCTTCTCAAATTCAGTTCCCCGGAGAAACTATTCTTGAAGAGGCCAAGAAATTTTCGTACTCATTTTTAAAAGAAAAGCTAGAATCTAATCAACTTCTAGATAAATGGATAATATCTGAGGGACTTTCAGATGAGGTAACGGAGAAATTTCTATATATAAACAGCATTATGAAAGTTAATCTCCTTTTTTTTTAATTATATTTACTCTTCACATCTGCGACGGTACAAAAGAGTGAGTAGGTGTTTGCTATGCAATGATGCAGATAAGGAAAGGGCTTGAAGTACCATGGTATGCTGATCTACCTCGGGTGGAGGCTAGGTTCTACATAGAGCACTACGGTGGCGAAACTGATGTATGGATTGGCAAGACTTTGTACAGGTATATGTTTCTCTCACTCACTTCATGTTCAACCATCTCATCTAAAATGTTACCTTTTTATTTAAATCTTGTGTGCAGTACCTTAACTAATCAATTATTTAATTCATTTGAGATAGTCCCGCTTAATAAATTTCCATTATTCTAATACCAGTTGAGGTAGTAAATCTCGGCCAGATCGCTCGGCCGGGGCAACTTTTCATTATTTAATTCATTTGAGATAATCCCACTTAATAAATTTCCATTATACTAATACCAGTTGAGGTAGTAAATCTCGGCCAGATCGCTCGGCCGGGGCAACTTTTCATGTTGAGGCCCGCCCCTTCCCTATCCACAAGTACCATGTTCTGTCTTTCCCTTTAAAAAAAATAACAATAAAAAAAGGGAAGGATGTTTTGCCTGCTGGCCCATTCAACATGGTATGGGCAGTGCAATAGTTCAATGGTGCAAAGGAAATAAGTGAGGTAGTCTCAGTTGAGCTGGCAGTCGCAGTGTGAGAGTTCGATTCCTGCCTCTTACAAGGTATGGAATTTGACTCTTTGCGACACCAGTATGGCAGCTCTTGTACCCGATCTGCTTAGGCACATCACGCGATTTACCTCCTCCACGATGCTCTAGGGACGGGACGGTGGGGGCCCTCAAGGTTAGGGTTCAACCTTTTTTTTTTTTTTGGTATGGGCAGTGCCTGCATTTCGTGATAAGACTCGCACTTTCTGGGCAATCTGGCATAGTCCAATCTGATAATTGATTAAAAAAAAGTGGACCATGCCCAACACCTCAAAAACTGATTGTTTTGCTTCACACCTCTAAGTCACGAGTTCATTTTCATTAGATTAAAACGTAAATATCTAATTAACTATACAACTTTTTTGTGTAACTAACAGTTCACTATGAATTTATTTTAAGATTTGAAGTGAAAATTTAAAATTTAAATAATTTTCATTATCTTCATAGTCTAAGGTAGAGATCAATGCCAAACCCTAACGGTACATAGCATTATCACCCATTCAAAGATATGTTTTGATTAAAACAAAATAAAATAATTTACATTCCAACTAATTTATGCCTGCAGGGTGAATATTTTCCATGTCAATAAATTCATATATTCCTTTTCTTTTTCTTTGTAGGATGCCAGATATCAGTAATAATGTCTACATTGATCTTGCAAAATTAGATTACAATAGTTGCCAGGCGCTACATGACATTGAATGGAATGAAATTCAAGAGTAAGTACATAGAAAGGATCGTGCTATGTGTGTGTGTGTGTGCAGCCTGTTATTTCTGGCCATTCACTTATACTATATTCATCAACCTCTTCTTCAATTCCTTGCACAGATGGTATGCAAATAGCAATCTGCAAGAGCTTGGTATAACGAAAAGGTACCTTCTTCAGGCCTATTTTTTGGCTGCAGCTACCATATTTGAGCCAGAGAAGTCAAATGTGAGAGTTGCGTGGGCTAAATCCCAAATTATTTGTAAGATAATTACATCTTATTTCGATCAAGAAAATACATCTTCGGAGCAAAGGATGGCCATTTTAGAGAACTTCAGAAATACAATCCATGGTCATAAGAAAACAAAAAGGTATTTAGACAAGAATATTATTTGTCTTTGTTATTTACAATATCATATATTAATATTTTATTATTGAGAATTCGTCCAAATAATTAAACAACGAGAAAAAATGGACAATATAAAAATAATGGATCACATAAGAAAACGAGAACATTTATGAAATCGATTCTATATTTTTTTGGTGCTCCTTTTATTTTTTCTTTCATTTGTCATGATCAGACTATATTTATAAGTAGTAGATGGCAGGTGTTGAATTTATTAGCACCTAAAATTGTTATATGTACACATTCTAAAGTGTTAAACAAAATAAATAAACAAATATATAAGTAAAATTAAGAGTATTATTATTTTGACTCATGATTATTAGTTCTAATAAGTAGAGAAATGGATCATATATGATATAAATGTAGATTATATTTTATTATCCTTCTTCAGTGGCAGCAATAAGACTGGTCATGGAATTCTCAATATATTATTAAAAACCCTAGATCAATCTTCGACGGATGCATGGGGGATCCTCAGCAGAGACATCAGTCACCAATTACATAAAGTTGTGAGTTCACATCATCGCCAATGTTTCATTCTTTCTTGTACAAAGAAATAGAACAACTTAGTTGATTGTAATTTGTTTCATATGCATTGAGTGAGACAGTGGGGAGCATGGCTAGTGAAACTTGATAAAGGAGTTAAGGATGAAGAAGCAGAGCTCTTAGTACACATAATAAACATTTGTTCAGGCCATATGGTATCCGAGGAGACAATATTACATCCTGAATACAAGCGCCTCTCAGAGCTCACAAACAGAATTTGTCAACAACTTCATCGTAATCAAAATGAAAAGGTGAAGAGTAGGACAGCTGATAAATTTGTAAGACATGTAATATTCTTATGAGTAATGCTATTCTTAGTGAAGATTACTGGTAATCTTCCTGCATGGCAAACATGTGTCGCTTTTATATTTGATTCATAAGGCAATAAAAATGTTTCAAATAACAAAGCGGCACATATATGCTACGTAGGAAGACTAATGGTAGTCTTTTACGTAACATTATTCTATTTTTATCTCACTTGTTAAATATGTGATGAACAGCTACTAGGAATAGATGATTGCAGTACGGAAAATAATAGCGTCAAATGCTGCAAGGAAACCGAATGCGACATGCAGACCCTTGTGGAGTTGGTTATATGCAAATCCGACGCTGTAAATAAGAATATAAAGCAATCATTTCTAATGGTTGCAAAAACTTATTACTACATGGCCTATTTCTCTGCAGACACTGTTGAGTTCCACATATCTAAAGTACTCTTTGAAAGAGTTGTGTGAGTTGGTATAAATGGGTTGTAATATTCATGTCATGAAATAAACTACTAAATAAATATTGACAAATGTAAGGGGATAATGTTGTTTGTACAATTTTTTTTTTTTAACATTGTTGACAATGTTGTGGTGGCAAAAATGTGTTGGTTGGAAAGATTAATTGTTTTTTAAACTGTCCAATGACAGCATGTCACGTGGCATATTGTCAATAACGTTGTACTTAATGGATGATTGAATATAAGGATATGTGGACATGGGGTGGAAAGAAACTTGAAAAAAAAACATCATTATTAGGTTTTATTCTTTTTAGTTGATAAGATTTTAGTTCTAGGTTATCATATTTCATTTATTTTTATGATAATGTTTCTTTTCCTTAGCTTATAGTGACATGATATGCTAGCTTCATAGTGAGAATTTCGGACTGGAACGGGAAAAGCAGCTAGCTGAGCACCTCGCCTTTGGAAGGAGTTAGTTTGTTAGCTGAGCTCTACTTTTCTGTATAAGGCCCTATATCCATAAGAGATCTGACTATTTTGTTGGTTTAGTTCAATATATTAAGCCTTTGTTTGGTGGGAATTAAAATTAGATTTTTAGTAGATTTTGATAAAAGTTTTTGAAATGTATCGTTAAAAAGTTTTGGGACCCCGTGGTTAATATTGATTTTTTTACTTTGACTTAGATTTAAATCTATACCAAACAACGGCTAAATATGAAATGAAAAATGTTTGCCCAATTTTTCTTTTACTACTATTGACTTTTTTGTTTATAATAATTAATCGACTTTTCTTGGGTAAATTTACTGTTGACCAAGTGTAAAAGGCATAACCCAATTAGGGAAGTCAATTGTTTTTAGAGCTTTAGGAAACCACAACATGGGATGTTCAAGGTTTGCAAACCAATCTTCACATATTTGGATTTTAATGAGACGTGATGCTTGTGGATTGTGTTTCCTCAATCAATTTTTTGTCATATGGAAATGTTAAAAGAATGGTGTCTATAAACTTGGTTTTCAGTATTATTCTTCCCCCTTTTTGGAGCAAATATATAGGTACAATTACATCTTAAAAGTAGGGAAACAATTCTATCCTAAGGGCCAGCTCGGGAGTTTTATTTTGATCAGATTTGGATAGCACCGTTTATGAGTTAGAAGAATCGATACTTGCTAAATTTTTTGGGCACCGATTTTGAATGATTTAAAACCACCCAAAAATGTTGTAGGGTAATTTTGACCGATTTTCACAACTCATCAAATGGACGATTTTTTATTGTTTCTCAAATTCTCTTCTAATTTTACCCTTTATAAAATAATTATTTCCAACAAACATATTTTGTTTACTACTAACTTATAAATAAAAATATACTAACTAAAAAAAATTATTTATAAGCAAAAAATTATATTATAATTAAAAAAATTACTTATAAGTAAGATAAAAAAATTATTTTTGTGTAAAAATCTTACTAACAAGACAAAAAATAATTTACAAAATATAAAAAGTCACTTACAAGTAAAAAAATTGCTTATGTGTAAAAATTATTTAAGAGTACAAAATTAACTTATAATTATAAAGTTTATATATAATTAAGAAATACTACCATAAAATTTTTAAGTAAATATTTAACTTTTTATGTTAAATATTAACTTATATGTAAAAAAAAAATTTACATATAAGTAAAATATCGCTTATATGTAAAAATTTCATACAAGAAACCATAAACTCCTTCCTTGTTGATTGAGTTTCTCATCAGTAAACGAGTACAAGATGGTGTGGAAAGCAAGGAATCAAATGGCAAGTGATTCAAACTCATTTTGGTGTTTTCAAGTAAGTTTTACTACTCCAAACTCGGTCATAAGCATGCAAACACTTTTTACATAGATATTAGAGACTAAGTAGGTTATTTTCTTGCTTAAGTACAGGTTGAAAATGGGTTAAAATGATCAAAACGCATGCATGTTGTTTTCTTCCAAAGCTTGAACACCATTAATGGCAACTTTTGATATATTTCATATAAATTCATGAAATTTATAGCATATGTTATGATATTATGTAGAACATATCTAAAAAATCTCACTTCGTTTGGATTTATATTTTGCGAGAAAAATTGAACCCTAGTTGAGAAAATCGAAATTTCATCGCAAGATAACTTCCAGCACATTAAGTTATGTACTGTCCATTTGGTATGGATTGATAGATCTTCTCAAGACCTTTTCAACGGTGTAAAGAACATTAGTTTTGGCTTAGAATTGAAGAAGTTATGACTTTTGAAATTTTTGACAAAACTCTAAAAAATTTGCATGTTTTTGGAGGATGAACAGTAAAAATAAAAAAATAAAAAGAGAGAGATAGATAGAGAAATTGTTGCATGGAGGTGGTTGCATTCCAAATGCAATTTGAAAAATTGCATATTGGTCCCCAAGCTATTTTTTAAATGTTGACTATTCCAAATGTAATTTGAAAATTTTCGTGTTGGTCCCAAAACTATTTTTGGATATTGTTTATTCCAATACCAATTTGAAAAGTCACAAATTGATCCCTCAAATATTCTTTTTTCTTTATGCAATAAAAATAATTTTCAGATAATCAAAAAATATTTTTTATTATTTTATTATTGAAATAAATTTATAAAAAACATTAAAAATATTTTTTTTGGACTTGATTAAATTCTAAATTTTTTTTATAAAAAATCAAGAATATTTTTTAAGTGGTATTTGCCATTGAGAAATTTTTTTTAAAAGAGCTCTCATTTTTTTGAAAATATAATAAAAAAATACTTAGAATGTGTTTGACATACCACATTTTATATACATTCATGAGTAGTGTGGATCTTTATTAAGTTATGTGATCCATTATGACTAGTTTTCAATTGTTGTGCTTGATCAGATATGATTGGATCAACACGTACTTTTAGCATCCTTAGAGGAGAAGCTTACACGGGCTGTGAAACGTGTTGAAAAATTACGTGCTTATCGAAACTATGAAATAGATCCACGACATAACCTAGTACAACACATAAAATATCTCGAAACAACGCGTCGAGAAGAATTGCATTTGGGATAGCATATATATGAGGTGGAAAATATGTATCGTCTAATGAGGACACTTCCTAAATATTGGCATGATATTGCTATTGAAGTTTTGGATAGTTTACCACATTTATGCTACAGCTATCTGATCAGAATTTTAATTAGGAAATGGAATTCAAAAAAAGAGAATTTTATAGTTAATTTAGATATATATGGTTAGTTCAAATTGTCGAACAATATCTATGTGAATTTTTTTTTTTTTCGTGTTTAGTAATTGTTTAAAAAAGCTTAATATGATTGCACGTACATATTAGACATTTTGAGATTTATATATATATGTTTCATATTTATAACATATAGTCAAAATGTTTTGCTTATTTTGTACATGATTAATTGTTTAATTTAGTGAGAGTTCTAAGATTAGAAGAGTTTAAGTAATTTTGACCTAGAACCTATGATTTTGCACTATGAAATTAATTTTGTGATAATGTAATATTAAGATAATGGATGATGATTAGGAACTTAGTGAACTTTCGACTCTATGTCTAATGTGAAATTATCATAAAACATAATTTGCACGAGTGAAAAATAATGTGTACATAAATGGATATTTATATGATTGTCTCTAAAATTTTGACAGACCATGGCATGTAAGAATATCATAACTAACATTAATAAGGGTGACAAATTGAATGACAATAACTACAACACCTGGCGCCACAAAATTTGGTATGTACTGGAGGAACATGATTGCCTTGAGGGCATTAGCCACGTGATGAAAGACCCAGGGGTAGTCAAACTGCTCAATAAAGAAGAGATCGGAAAACTTACCAAACATAGAAAAAGAAATATTTCACTACTCTTGCAATTTTAGTAAGTTCTGTGGTGGACAATCTCATTCATGAATGTGAGCAATTCCCGACTGCTCATGACATCTGGACATATTTGAGAGAGAAATATTGTGGAAGTAGTGTGACTAGACTCAAACAACTGATTATTAAATTTGATACTGACAAGAAACTTCTTAATCACAATATCACACAACATGTAAGGATCATGTCTACTATGATTAGGGAGTTGAAGTTTGCTGGTCACATACTCTCTAATGAGCAGTAAGTTCAGGCTTTAACCCGCTCCCTTCCTGATAATCTTGAACATTTGAAAGTCAATCTGACTCACAATGATAGCATTAAAACATTTGCTAATGCTGCTTGTCCCCTGGAACTAAAGGATAAGCGCCTTGGTGCGGCTAAATAATTGGGACATGCTTTTATAGCAGAATTTAGTTCTAGAAAAGCTTCAATTTTTAAGTGTAAGAAGAACTGGTTCAAAGGAAGGAAAGGGAAGTGAAAAGAAATTGGACAAGGACTTAAAAAGAACAAACTTAAGCGCAACAAGAAGGGTAAATTGTTTGGAAAGAAGAAAGATAAGAGCAAGCTAAAATGCTTCAACTGTCAGGTACTGGGTCACTTTGCTCGAGAATGCCCTAAGCCAAGAAGATATATCTTATAAATTCTTCTTTTAGTGTTGTTTATGTTTCAAGTACTGTTATGATATCTGAATCTTATCCTATGTGGATTGTAGACTCAGAAGCGACAGACCATGTAACCAGGGATCGAGAAGATTTTGTCGAGTTCTGTGGATTTCCAATTGGTACAAAATGAATGTACATAGCAACGATGATAGACCTGAGGTGAAAGGGATCAGTACATACAAGTTACATTTGTATATTGTTCGTACTATTCTTCTTCATGATGTTCTATTTGCACCTGGGATACGAATGATCCTAATTTTCGTTGTTGTTCTTTTAACGTTAGGTGTCAGTTTGAACTTTTTTGGTAACTCTGTTCGTATTAACAATGGTTATGTATTTTATGGATCTAGAGATGTAGAAGGTGGTTGTATAGTGTTGGATTGTGACCTAAATACTTATGATTATTATGTTGATCGTTGTTTTTCTATGAACGTATCTTCTTTTTCTTCT